GAAAGAGAGAATGAAGAATCGGCTTCGATCGTTGGTGGTCTTCGATGATGGTCGCACGAATGGGTTGGTGGTCTTCGATGATCGTTGGTGGTCTGGAGGTTTCTAGAGGTGAAGTTGCAGAGGTTTCTGGAGGAGAAGTTGAAACGTCGCGCGAATGGGTTGTGATTCAATTTTGGTTTCGGTTGATGTCGTTTTGGTTCAGTTTTGGCTTAATGTCGTTTTTCAGTTTTGGTTTAAAACTAAATACTGAAAATGGCATATGTTGTAATTTTCATATTTTGTAATGGTATTTTTGTTACATTTTGGTTTTTTGCCTTTTGCTAATTAGACTAAATTGTATTTCTTTCTACTAAATTAGTAAACTATATTATGCTTTAAAACTAAAGCTCCCCAGTGTTTATGCTACTTTCCAAGTTTCGCAAAGATTAACAGACCCACGAACTCAAAGCTCCAATCTTGAAAACCAAGATCCAGTTTAGAAAAGAAGAAAAGAAGAAATGCTGTCGAAAATCTCAGTTACCCACTTGAAAGCATCACCATCTGCATCCACTTCTTGATTTATTATATTTTTAAAGGGTGGAAATATAATTTTTGCCTCTGCACGCATTTAGCACAGGCAATTAAACTGACGGAATTGAGAGATGTGACCTGATTTGTTAACGAATGCAAGTACAGTGACGAAATCGAGAAAATTGAAATCACGTTGACTAAAATTGCTTTCAGGCCAAACTCCAGCAAAAGAAAAGTGAACTCACAAAAGTGAAATAACGGAATTACCATTAGCAGTAAAAGGACAACGTGCATAATGTAAGTGAAACTCTGTTTCTCAAACATCCTACAAATACAGTTTGCACCGCAATGTTGGTAAATTGAACAGCATAAGGTACAAGACTACTACAGCAGTCGAATTGGCAAATGAAAATCCATCAATCTTATCCCATTAACCCTTTTTTTTCTCTAGATATACTTGTTTTGAGTAGGCACAAGGACTCACTGAAATAGAACCATCAGAACAATAACATACTATCATTAGCTTTCTAATCTGCATCCATTTCTTCCAATGCTGCTCTAGCTGCTGCCTTTGCTTCCTCTAGAAGCTCATCTGGAACCTGAAAATTGAAAAATAAAATTATAAATATGCAAGACAGGCTTTCACATGGAACTACCCTACAAGGTAACAAAAACAAAACACAGATGAAGATGAAAACATTATAATACCATGCAGTAGCGATAATGGAAAACGGAGGGGTAATGGAAAAGTATTGGTTCAAAAGAATCATAATCTCTCTCCCATGTTAAATGATCAATTTGAAGGTGGGGCTTAAAATGCAGAAGTTCAAAAAGATATTAAGCACAGTGGAACATGAATAATAGATATCATTAAAGTTGGCACTTGTAGCTAGGAACCACACACAACTGAACACTATGGCACATCAAAGAACACAATCTCTAAATCCTACACCAGTCTAGATTACTTGGTTTTCAGGGGGAAAGCGACTGAAACAGCTAAGCCTTCCGAAAGATACGAATATTTTGTACCACATTTACTGACCACCTACCTCTATGGGAGAGGTGGTCAGCAAATGTAGCACAAATAGCAGCCGTTGAAAGAGGATTGTATTCAAATTAACAGTCTTAGAACACGATGACAAGGTTTTTCACAAATGAATTAAGATGGAAAATTAATCATACAGGTCAGGAACCATTGCTACAAACAAAGAGTTTCTGCTCAGGCTCCGGAAATATTCTCAATTTTTTGTTGAATACATTTGTGAGGCTACTATAGAAATGTACATTCTACATCTCCAAGTGAGATATAGGTTCTAGGTCATGTACCATTCACCACTAGGTCCCTCCCTAAGAAAATAAGAAAAGCTATGGAATGTGGACTAACAGCCAATTAAAAAGGAAATACTAAAGGAAAGGAAAGATATTTAAAAAAAAATTCTGATCAACTTTACATATTAATGACATGTTACTTTTAATCACAAAATGATGGTATGAGAAACAAAGGAGGCAATTGGAAAAAATAAAAGCAGTATCTGAACTGAAATTAGTTTGAATTTAGCAAGTTCCTTGAACTCAAAAGCAAAGTTTAGATACCTTCTGATGCTGACGGTTTGATTCATCACAGACCCAGCTCATTTCTAATTCAAAGTCCTTGTCCTTTGCCTCATCATGTATTCCATAAATGCTGTTTGGCATAATTGAATATTACACTCAGTGGAAATTTCAGATTGAGCATCATCAGACATGCATAAATACATAAATGCTTTGATGTCTTCTACCAGTACAATATTGTTCAGGAATGGGGAGCGAAAGTAGCATGAAAAATATTATTATTGAGATCACTCTTTAGAACAAGCACATTATGCCATGATATATTTTACGGCAAACTCATGAAGCATATGAAACAATCTAGTGTCTGAGAAAAAGAACTACATACTCAAAGACACACAAGCTAATAATTATAACAATCTCAAGCAACATGCCACAGCTTCTTCTTTTTTTTCTCTTTTTTTTTAACAAATTTTATTGCAGAAAACAATAAAATTAAAAATGGAGTGGGTAAGATGGCCACAACATCAAAAGTTCCATTTCAAAATATTGACGACTAGATGCAACTGTGAGTGAAGTGAGGGAGACGCATCTGGCTAATAAAAAAATTATTTTTGTTCTGGAAGATAAAATAAATTTCTAAGGGATAAAAAGGATTACTTGAGGTTTGTTCTGGCAAATAAAAGGAATTTCTGAGGGATAAAAAGGATTATTTGAGGTTTGTTCTGGAAGATAAAATGAGGGATTAAAAGGATTACTTGAGGAGTTGAGACAAGTGCATACCCCAGAAGAACATAGCTAAGCCAAAAACAAAAACAAAAACAAGAGCCACAACAAAACCCACAATCAAGAATTGCAAAAACAACCCCTAAACCCAACTAAGAAAGAGGCCTAAAGGTTACAGAATTATTAACTTTTACAATAGACTTGTATGATTTACCTCTGACCCAACAATTACCTCCCGTACACTTTTTATGATGTATCTCTTACCCAACATTATTTGCCATATGGGTAGCAAAATAAACTTATCCAAAAGCTTCATGGTACAGTGCAGGGAGACCAAGGGAAATTCGGCCCTTGCCCAGTTCTCATTTCTGCAACTCTTTCTTTTTCTTACATGAACACAAAAATGCACAAAGGCAACTGCCTAGATTTCTGCCAGTTCACACTTTAGTACTCTTTCGTTTTCCCTTGTCTATTATAGTTTATACAGTAATTATTCCTCTATGAAGGCACAGTTTGATTTATCTCCCATACCCACTCTCATTTTCCACAAAGAACTATAAAAAGAAAAAGAAATGGGCCAATAACGGTTTAGACCTATCAGTAGATAAAACAGTGCACCCAATGAAAAAAAAGGCTTTCGACCCTCTATCTTGTTCATAATGATATGACAACCAATATTATCAAATATAAAGCATCCTTGTTAGGAACACTGAATTTTGAAGAAAAAAATGGTCAAAAGAAAAAGCTGTTTGTCTTGAAAAGGTTACATTGAATTTTTAGGAAAAGTAAAAAGAAAAGAGTTATTTATATCGAAAAACAAAGGTCACATGTTTGATGTAGATATACATGCATACCTACATGCACACATATACACTAATAAGGTCCTTAAATAAGGGCCTGCTTGATGCATCTTACCCAATGTACACCTCTTTGCATATTTATCGGCCGCATCTCATGTAATAGTTGAGAAACAAACCCTTATTTAAGGACCTTGTTACAAAATAACACTATACATATATTAAAAATTTGTAACTAGATGCCACCATCATCAAATTACAAGAAGCCAACAAAGGATTCACAGAGGATGCCACTTACATCTTGGCTACTTCAATAACACCTTGCCGACAAGTCAATTCCGAAAGCTTCAACTTTTCAATCTCACTGCCATTACATGATATAGATATACCAGTATCATCTTTCAAATTTCTCAGCACAATAAAATATAATAAACAAAAGGAAAGAATTTCAAGTAAGAACAAATTTAACATTAATGCTCTTATCGAATTGTAAAAGACATATGTTCAAGCATCCTTGTTAGCATAGGCTGTGTACAGCCTGGTAGACTGATTTTGATTTAATGTTTGACTGATTGGTACACAAGCTTTCAGAGGGACCAAGATGGACCAAATTGATACGAAGTTTTTGTGGATACATTTGAGTGGATTTCCCTAATGGCAGTATTTGGTACACAAGCTTTCAGTGGGACCAAGATGGGCCATATTGCAAATTCTACTACTCAAGTAAACATTAATAAATCAGGAATTTCTCAACAAGATAATTCTGCAATATCTTGTCACAAAAATTTAGAAAACAAACTCTCAACTTACGTCTTAGCAGCCTGCCTGCCCTTTCCAATTGCAGCACCAAAATACCTCTAGAAGAAATGCCAAGAGTAGTATTAATACAAAACAAGTCAACAAAAAAAAAAAAAAAAAAAAAAAAAAAAAAAAAAAAAAAAAAAAAAAAAAAAAAAAAAAAAAAAAAAAAAAAAAAAAAAAAAAAAAAAAAAAAAAAAAAAAAAAAAAAAAAAAAAACTATGCTAAATAAAATAAAAAAGAAATAAATACAATTCTTACAGCAGAAAAATAACAAGCTACATAAATAAACTCACATAAGAAATGCCGGAAGGTTCAACCATGTACAGTTGTGGCCCATCTCTGTCATAACCTCCAAGGATTATCCCACATCCAAAGGGTCTGCATAACAGCTTTCATAGATAATAAGAGGGTGTAAACAGAACCTTTAAAATGACAACAAGGAATTGCGAGTTCTCATCAAACCTGAGCCACCAATATAGTGTACACAAATGCACATAACTAGCAACACGTTCGGCAAGTTCCTTAACAGGAATCTGTTCACCATACACACTGCAGAAAAATCATAAAAATTAGATAAACATGTAAAAACATAAACAGATAAAAGATACGCAAACCATTTGAATTTCAGGTGGACTCCAGAGGTCAATTTCAAGGGTCAATCTATGGACAATGAAGAGTCAATCATCACATAGCAATGGTAATCATTCCAAGACGGGAGGGGAAAAGAATAAAAGAATAGTCACAATTATGCATGCATACAATTACTATAGAGAGTTTCAAAACTTGTTCACCAACCAGATTGTCTAGATAATTCAAAAGGATATTAACAAAAAGACTTGTCCATGCCCATTATTATTAACAGGCATCAAGCAAACATTAAGCAAGTCCCGACTCCTGAAAACACAAGCATAATGTGAAATAGATGGTAGCCACAAAGTGAGGAGACCAGCAACATATTTGGATTTTTCAAAAGGTATCAGCATAAACTATTACAACATGTGGTGAGGGCGAGAGAGACAGAGAGAATTCTCCAGAACAGGGAAATACTTTAGATATTATCATGAAAAATGTTCAATGGCAATGGTTGACAATTTACAACTGCATGTTTACAAATCCATAACATGCAAGTGTAATCTGAACAAGGGATTTGAGCCTGTCTATTGACTAATATAACTAAATTAAAAGCCAAAGTATGGGTATACCAACCAAAACAAATTTTTTATTTACCCATTGATTAGACCAATCACAAGTTAATATTTAAATACAGGATTCCAGCCAAACAAACCTGTCCATTCAAATTATACTAGAGCAAAAAATTGATAAAGAAAAGGAAAAGGAAAGTGAGGGGAGGATGTATTAACACAAATCCACAAGAGAGAGAGAGAGAGAGAGAGAGAGAGAGAGAGAGAGTGTTTAAATGTTCCAAAGAACAAGAAAACTCTCTTCTTTTTTTTCTTCTTTTTTTTATAGGCAAAACTCAAAGAGAAAGGCACACCTTTCATAGTTGTTAGCTTCAGACTTGGTCCTGGCAACAATTTGCCTTCCATCTGCTGCTAATCCAGCAACTGCCTGTAATTGGATAGCATCATAAAATGCATCAAAAACTAAATTTAAAAGTCAGCTCTCTTGCTAAGATTGATAGGTTATAATTGAACCGCCAAAATTATCAGACAAATCTCATGAGATATCAAAAAATCTAAAGCTGGCACAAAATATCATACATTCTATGAATATCTTAATATCTTTCTATGATGTATCAAACTTCAGTGAGCAATGGTTTATACAAATCCACATGCTGCTTAGAATATCATATCACCAGTTTGACCATAACCTACAAAAGAAATCATAAAGGAAGCACCCAGGGATATAAGAATCAGGCTAGCCCAGTCTTGCAGATTCCAACCATATCTAGTGACTTTTCAATTCCAGGCGGCATTTCAAATAAGCAGCAGTCTGTATGCTGCTTTCTTTTATTTCAGAATCCTAGTGATAAGCATAGGAGTACAGACTTAAGATATGGAGGCTACATCAAACAATGTTAGTAGCTCTTGTTTAGGGCTGAAAAAAAAAAAAAAGAGTATCGATATGTGAAAAGTAGTCAGACTCTCTGAGCACCAGGACTGCTATAAGTTTAAGATTTCATCTTATACTTCTAAGCAGCAAGAGAAACACCTATTTTCTTCTCAAAAAGCAGCTAGAGGCCAGAGCAACAAAACTTTCAGATAACCAAACAGCAAAAGTGAACTCCTTTCTCACCTAGTACAAGCAATAGTGTAATTTCTATATAAAAAAATTCGCTTCTAAGTAATATTGTTGATGCCTAAAGTGTATTTTTCAATGAGGAATATGGATTTCCCCGCATTATAAGTGACCATCGAACATATTATCTATCTAAGCATGCCCACAACATAATCTTAGCATCTTTGATTAACAATGGTAGATAAATTAAGATCCTAAAGAAAAATGAACCATTACTGAGCTCAGTTAGTAGGACCGGGTAGAGCCCACTTTTCACAGTAAAACTGTAAGAGAATCCAAGTAAATACCATGCCGGAGTGGCGATGAACAGAATGAATCCTTCTATTGGAACCTGGCAACATCATCTTCGACGCTATAAGCTTTTCAACACCCTGAAATTCAAAATAAATAAATAAAAATTAACCCATGTTTACCAGAGAGGATGAGAGCTAAAATTTTGAAAAACATTTATTTATTAAACTACAAAGAAAGAAAAGACAAAAGAAGTTTACCATAACAACGCCGTCCTTACATTTGATCCCAATAACAGTCCTGCAACAATTAATGGACAATTAAAAAAACCTCCAAAGTCCCAAATCAGATAGCGAAAATCATGTGGATTGAAAATCTGGACAAGTATTGCATTTTTCGGGGAACCAAAGTAGGGTTTCAGAGGGAAAAGGTACCCGGAGTTGTCAACGGCTTTGGCGGCGTACTCGATCTGGAAGACGCGGCCATCGGGAGAAAATGTGGTGACGGAGAGATCGTAACCTGTTCCAATGCTGCTCATCTTTCTTCTTTCGGGTTGAGTGTTGTTGAGAGCTCGACTGAGAAAGCTACAAATAGGGAGACACTGGCTTTTCTCTCAAGAAATAAATAGACTAAAACAAACAGAGGAGGAAAGGGGATGTTGATGACTATTTTTCGATTTGGGTTTCGGATTGGGTTTGGGCCCCTCTTCAAATAATAAAAATTGTAAAACCCACATTGCCATTCTTAGAGGTGTCGAACAGACCATGTTGGTCCGTTTAGAGTTTGACCATTTAATAAATGGGCTGTATCGGGCTCGTCCCTTTATGAAAATTATCAATCTCAGTCCATATAGGCTCATGTCGCGGAGTGCTTCTATAGCGAGTGGAAAGTTATAAGGGGTTTTTTTTGAGGGGTATGTAAGAGCCGTTGGATTTCATCCGACGGTGAGTTTTTAAAAAAGGGTGCATGTAGAACCGGGTTGAAATCTGACCCGTTTGGAAACCCAACTTCAGCTGAAGATTTTTCCCTCTCTGTGAAAAACTCAAGAACACAATCCTCTTTTTTTTAATGTAATGCAAATCCACAATTAGAAAGATCCAAAGCTCCCAAACTCTATAATCGCTCCATTGTCATCAGCTCCTTGGGAGGCCTGCGATCTATGGTATCCTCGGTATGATGATTAATGGCTTTTACCTAGCTATTGCCCTGTTTTGATTCTATGATTGAAGTGAAAACCCCTTCTCTTTTTCGTTCAGCAGAAGAGATTCCAGATGAAAGCAAAGTAGCATATCTCTTTTTCGTGCTGCTGCAGTTGTTCCTCGATTTTGGTAGAGATGGAGTCTCCACTACGAAATAATCCTCTCTAATGTCTACCACATTCTTTGAAGCTGACTGACTTCGGAGCTCCCGATTGACTTTGAGAGGTAAGTTCACTCTTGCTGGATTGATTTTGTTGGGTTTGATTTGTTTTTTGTGAGGCTGAGAAATTTGTCATTTGTGGCATCAATAATGCGTTATTTGTTCTGCTATCAATAATGCGTCATTTGACTTTGAGAGGTAAGTTCACTCTTGCTGGATTGATTTTGTTGGGTTTGATTTGTTTTTTGTGAGGGTGAGAAATTTGTTATTTGTGGCATCAATAATGCGTCATTTGCTCTGTTATCAATAATGCGTCATTTCCTTATGAATATTCAATATACTTA